TTTCTCACAGGAAAAACATTTAAAGTTTGGGATTAATTTTATGGAACTTTAGCCACCTGGAAGCTAATGTTATAAATTTGAGCTAATAATCTAGGCAACTTTCATAGTCAGTGGAGAGAGATAAGACGCTTCTGTTGGAGAGCACATCATCCCTACTGTCTAAGCCCCGCAGTGCAGAGCAGGGTAGCTGTTTTCAGGAGGTGCCTGGTTCATCCCTTTGACTGCAGAGAAAGCCTGTACAATCAGGTGACTAACCTTAAATGATATGCATCCTATCTAAAGTGTTTAGTATGGATTTTAACCCTCTCTGCTCTGCTCTCCCTCAGTGCACACCCAAATCCCAGTGATGAAACGAAACAGGGTTAAGGTAGCTGTACTGCTGTGGAATGTGCTGGTGTGGATGCTGTGTGTGCTTCCTGGGGTCTTCTGATTTGGGCAAGCAGTGCCACAGAAGAAAGGAGGAACAGGGAGCAGGCAGCTGCCCTCTCCCTCTGCACAAAGCAGTGATGGGAATCATGGTGCAGTTTGAAACAAAAAACTTCCATAGATTCGTATTTTTCCTGCTAGATATAAGGGTGTTCTTTTTTTTCCAAGCAGGGGGGAAAGTATTATCCCAGACCATTCGCCTGCCCTGGTTCATCAGGAATTTTGTGAAACATTTGTGCTGCAGAACAGAGGGATGCTGCTGCTGCAAGATAAAGGAATGAGCTGGAAAGGCTGCATGGGGACTACTTAAGCCTGCACAGATTACTGTGGAGCTGTGGCTTAGTCAAACACTGAATCCAGCCCTTCGACTTTGAGGACAGGTAGACATACAACACCTGGTCATAGGTATGTGGGCAGTATGGTTGTTATGATCCAACGGCATAGCTAGATCTTTATATATCTTTTTCTTCCACTACTGCAACTCCTGTTGTACTTTCTGTGGTTTTGCTTACGTCATTCAGCCATACTATTTGTTTTTTATCTTTTCACCAGCCTTCATGTTTTACATGCAAACTGTTTTCTTCAGATTAGCCAGTGCATTACTCCTTTCAAACTATTTAATAGGAAGGATCAGCCTCTTAGCGCATTTAATTTTTGTCATAAGCCTGTAAATGATATTGTTATTAAGAAAGAGTTTCGGAGATGCAGAATTGTTGCAGGTTTCCTACCTGAAGGCTTGCTGATCTCATTTTTCTAGTCTTTCTGCTGGGCTTTTTTATATAAGACAATGTCTGAGGGTCACTGTTGTGAGTATCAGGGAGTCTTCCCAAGTACACACATGAAGGGCAGCCCAAATCAAGCAAGGGGAAACTTCTGCCTCTGCCTGATAGACCACGCAGTGCTGCAGCTATGTCGAGTCCCACTCAAAACCCCTATTGTCAGTGTCCAGGGGGACCCAGACCCACTGCACGATATACTGCCAATACACATACAAACAAAATCAAAACTCCCTCTCCAAAGACTTTCCCCAAAGATTATGTTACAGGCACTGCACTAAGAATTTTGCACTTCAAAAAACCAACACAATAGGTTAAAAAAGAAGAGCTTAAAAAAAATAGATGCTGAGGATAAGGTTTATTGCCCTTCACATATTCAAACCTTTGTTTCCAGTTTTCAAATTTTTCTCTAGACTCATAAGCCTACAGTCACAGTCATTAATTGTATCCCTGTCCCTACACATAAGCAGTGGAGAGAGCTAGTGGCTCCTGCAGGGTGATCGCAGGGAGATTCAGGAGACTAAAGTGACGTGTGGGGGCAGCTGCCTGGGGTCAGCCAAGAGGAAACATGAAGCCTACAGAGCGAAGTGGAATTCAGGCTGTTTGCATACCATCCTGTTGAGCCTCCTGACCCTAGGAGAGGCTGTCATGTTTTAGATCAAATACTATGATTCATGGTACACACACAAGGCCAAGCGATGGCTAGTGAGAACAACCCTTTCTGTGTTTCATTTGTTTCCTAATCTCAAAAATAGGTTTAATAATTCCAGGTTCTTGTCAGGTTAAGTACATCAAAGACTCGGGAACCAGCAATACTGTGGAAATAGGGTCATAGAAGCAGCTTTCCCAGCATTGTGTGGTTCTCAGAGTCCATAATGTTGATATCACTTTTTCACACAATAACTCAGATTCCTCTCAGGTTTCTGGGCAGTGCTCTTTGGCACTGTGTGTTTTCTATGGGCCTGGGGCACAAGCTAGCCCATTTAGCTTGAACAAGTTGTGACAGAGGTTAGCCTCATCAGACTGAAAGAATGTTTTCAAAACCCAACACGTTTCAAACTATATTAAGAAAAATTTCTTCCATGTAGTGGAAAAAATGGATAGATTATTTTTCCTTTTAGTTAGTTGTCTTTGAATGTGGGACACTTTTTATTGGTTTGGGAGTTTTTTGGTTTATAAATTTCTAGCAGGATTTGGAATTACACTTGTCTGGTAGGGCATGTCTGCACGGCATGTCAAATGTGTCATCATGGATAATAAAAATGCTTCTCCTCGCTTGTTGGAATTCAGCTCACTCACGTTCTGCTATATATGTAACCCATGCAGCACAGACCTGAGTGTGTGTTAGTGGGCCAGATGTACACCTATAGTGCCTCTGTACTAAAAAATAAAGCAGGCCAATGTTAACACTCCCTCCTTAAGGGCAAGCAGCAGGACACAGTAGATGACACCAGGCTCTGTGGGCCCTGGGAGCCGTATTGGGAAAAGGGACTGAAGCATATCCAGAGTGTGCAACAGCCACAGTACCTGCGCTGACTCCTCTGCCTTTGCGACAAGTGCTAATGAGGGGAAAAGCAAATGAGCCATTAGTGTCCTGCACCCTCCCTCCAGTACATCCACCTGCAAATCCACAAAATTTGCAGCCCCTCTTGGCAGCACAATAACCAGTCAGAATGAAACCAGGCAATCAGAAGTTCAATTATTTCCCTAACGTTAACTGCATTTATCGCCAGGTTTCCCTGTAAAGGTGTGTCATTTTACATACCTTTAAAAGAAAGGCTTTTTTCTGGGATAATATTCATGCCAACCACCTGTGTTACAAAGCTGTCGTTTACTCCAGCACAGCTGTCTGGATTAAGTGTGCACCTCATCTTTCAAAAGCACAGATTTTCTTCTTAGCATTTTGCTACGTAACCACTGACAAGGACAGTCATCTTTCTCAACTAACATAGCTGAGAACAACACAGATATGTGGATGTCTGTGCTCAAGATAAGATAACGACATGGGATGTTTCACTTCCAGCCATCTACAAAGACAATGACTTCTCTGTACAAGATGGAGAGCGAGGCAGCGAGAGTACAGTCCAGGGAGGATGCGCACTGTGACCTTTGCTTTCCTGGGTGGATATATGTAGAGTTTCATATGCTGAATGAATTTCTGAGTTATTTTTAGGAAGTGCCTTATTTTCATGTTCAGTCTGAGATTAAGTAGAATGTGAAACTGAATTAACAATGTTTGCCATCAGCAATTTTATTATAGATCTCGATTTCACAGTCAACGTTTTATATTACAACGGAAGAGGTACAAAAGTGGGCATGAAGACAAACTCTTGACCTAGAGTCAGAATAGCCGATTTGGAAGTATGGGTGTGTGTCCGTGTTGATGCATGTCCGTAGTCACATAACAGAGTGCAAATAAAAACACATTTCACTTAACGGAAACGTTATGGGTGAGGCCCTGGGTGTGGTCCAGCTGCGCTCGGCGCAGGCCTGCGTATCGCAGAGCTACGGTTTAACTAGAGGTGCTCGAAATGACACCAGCTTGTGTAGTCCCGTGAGGACAGCTCGCGCACCGGGTGGCCGCTAAAACATACAGCATTGCCACCTTCTGCCTGTGGGACCGTGGAAACCTCTGTCTCCCTAACACACCGGCAGACGGCTGGGTGCCAGGAGGGCGGCCGCCGGCAAAGCCTGCTCTCGGTCTCAATGGCGCCGCACGAGGGTACCACAGCCGCGGCCGCAAGCTGGCCACGCATCTTTGTTTTGTCATGGGCACGGCACTTGACTACACATACGAGACCGGCAAAACAGAACTCGAAGGGAATCAATGAAGCCTGCTGTTTCACCGCACTGCCGGCGTGTCCCAGTGAATTACACGCCGCGAGGCACCACCTTGCACCTCAGAAACGGAGGTCCTCCCTGTGGCAACCTTTTGGTGTTTGTCTCTATTCCGTTGGATGGCCAAGCTGTGGCCTGAGAGACCTTTTATGAAAGTTGGAAGGCTTAGACTTATTGCTATACTAAGAATAAAATGTAATCTGAACTGCAGCAGTGTTTCCAGTAGGATTTTTAACGGGGTTGTCTGAGTCAGTCTTGCTATTTTCTCTCCCCAGGTACACACTTGACATGTTCTTACAGATGCTGGCAACCACCTGAGCAGTTTCTGGTCTTTTCTTGGCTCAGCTCGGCTGTTTCCCCACCAGCCACTTACTGTGATGCCCTTTAAAAGGTAAGAACAATCGCGTGCTTGCTCAGAGGCACCACGTCCCTGGGAGAAACACGACCTACACCACGTGCCGCCGGGCAGCGTTCCTCTCTGGGGAATATTGCACTGGGATGCAGGAGGAGCATAGCGTGCTCCTCCGGCCATTTTCCATCCAGCCTTTCAGTGAAGAGGGAGCCAAGCTCTGATGTGGTTCAGTGCTCGGTCACAGCAGGTTCTGCCTCCGCTGGGAAGTCTCTTTCTTCTCTGTGCACACCCCAGGGAATCCCCGCTCTGACCCTCTGGGCACACGGGGAGCTGTACAGGAAGGAGCAAAGCAGGGCACAGCATCCCCCCTCAGCCACAGAACGTGCCCGCGGCCCCTCCAAAATACCACGTTTGCGTGCGCGTGTGTACGGTAATCACACCTCAAGTATCATCTCCTGCTCCTCGGCTGTTAGTATCACAGGAAGGACTTCTGGCCGTGGCGTCTGTACGCACCACGCTGCTATTTATCACTCTAAGTTAGGTAGCCACATCTTTTCCAGCTTTACACACAAATAATGAAAGCCTTCGATAGCGCGGAGCGCTCCGTTTCACGGAGTGCAGAGTCTGCAGTCTGTGTGGTCAGGGCTCTGCACACACTGAAGGAGCTGAACTGGCCTGTGATAAGACACAAAAACAAGCAAGTATTTGGTAATCGCTTTGCAAGGACAACAGAATAAAACCCCACGGTTACTAAATGCGACGTGAAAGTCAAAGCGCGTGTTACATCTGTGCTTATCAAGTGGATGTGGATCCTTTTCTTAGGATAATTTTTTTTAGATCTTGCTGCAGAAAGATAACTTTGATGTTTATAGGGGTTAGGGACAAGAGCAAGTGAGTATGAAATGAAGTAGGGTGTGAACTCACAGCACGTCAGCTACGCTGTGATGACAAAAATAATTATGAGAAAGAAGTACGATCTCTTGCACTGACTGCAGAGCAGCTGCCATGCTGGAGTTCATCTTGCTGATGTGGTAACCCCTACTGCTACAGTGTACAACTGCGCTAACAATGTCAGATATTGGCAGATTTTTTGCCAGAAGTACATCCAGTGAATCAAAATTTTTAGTTACTTCTGGAAGACACTACTGACACAGAGCAACTGATCAGCATCAATTGCTATGTGGCACGAAAAGCTCAGCTGACACACGGCCCCACACAGCTCTGTCTGCAGTGACTTCAGGGGAGTGAAGCTAACTTACACAGTCCATCCTGAAGAGTTTTTTCTGCACATGTACATTGATTATTTTATTATTGCTCTGTATATAAAATACTAAAATGAATTGTCCCTGTTGCTCTACAGAGTTGTTTACGTGTTAGTTGAGCTCTGGCAAAAAGCCCTGCTTGTTATTCCACCTGAAGAAGTGAGTTGCGAGCCGCAGCAACGAGCACGTCAACAGCTCTTTGTGCCGTGTTGCAGGTTTCTCCTTGTGCTGACCCATGGGGGATGTAAGCTACTACATATTTCCTCTTCCTCCCTGGCCCCTTAGCTTATTTCATCTTAGGCTGAAACAATTTCTACCCGCTTACAGGGAGTATTGGTTAAAGCCGCAGTCACCCAAACAGAAAGCAAGTACATAAGCATCACGATTTGGCAGATTTATGCACCACTGTTAATTTTTTCACAGTGTGCGGAGTACCCATTAATCAGGTTTAGCAACACCTAGACAGGAATATATTGCTTTGCCTTCAAGATTAAAATCCTAGCACCAGATAAGGTATTCGTCTCCTTTGCAGACCAACTTTTCCTTATTTAAAGCTAATGTCACAAACTCAGTAGTTTATAGAAATGTTTACCTTGGAAATGTTCTAATCAAAGTATGAGCCCTTCACTCTGATGAGCTGTTCCTGACAGATAAGATATGAGTAATGTTGAACCCTTGCTGCTTTTTTAATGTCACAAATGAACACTTGCTCTGTGTGAAGGTCTCTGAACCCACACAGAGGGATAAAGGGTCTCAGGCTTTTGTTATCTCCTGCGCAGGCAGAGAGACATTTCAGGCAAGTCAGCACTTGGGCTGTTCTGTTTCCCAGACTCCTGTTTTTATCTCCTGACAATGGGGAATTAGAGTAATTAATAATACTTATCATGCCTCACGCCTCACTCTCTGACAAAGCAGCTGGACGGAAAGTAAGCTCAAACCATAGCGAAGGAAGCAAGGAGCATCCTTGCTGTACTGCGTTATCTGCGTGCAGCAGGGAGGAAAGCTGCCTCTTTGGTTGTGATTATTGTAGGTAAAATCCCAGCCGGATGAAACTGTTGAGAGAGGTTGGATTCCTCCTTCCTTGGAGGCAACTGAACATCCTCAGTGGCGGTGCCCTCCTGGCGTGCAGGGCAGAGACCAAGCCCCAGACCCAGCCAAGAGGAGGTCTGTGGCACAAGTGGAAGCCCCCGAGAAGCACACAGACACATCGAAGGGATGTGATGGCAGTAAAAGGGGAGTCTGCTCTAGTCTGCTGTAAACCAGGAAACCTATATTATATCAAGAGGGAGGTACAATATTTGTTTTATGTTAGCAAGTTGATACCAATAAGAGCAGGTAAATTACCTGTAATTGTCTTCACAGGTGATCTTAAAGTTTCGCTCTTCTAGGATGCTTTTTAACCTCTTTATGGAATGACCCGAGCAGGATTCACTGGAAAGAAAACTCTTACATTACTTGTGTTCCTTGTACAAGTGTACAAGAAGCTCAACTAAATTCCACACTATGTCACTTTGCCTTATTTCAGGTAAGATTCTTTAAAAGCTTGTCTGCTAATGTGCTGTAAAGTCCATTGGGTTTATGGTGTTTTCGCTACCAATGGGCCTTCGCTGGTAGAGACTATGTGATGTTCAACTGTGTATCTCGCACAAGAACTTTATGCTGGAAAACATCTGTGGGAAATAACTCGGTTCCATTCACAGTTCAATGTGCTCTAGAACTGCTCCAGGGCCACGGGTGGCCGCCATCCACAGGAGTGCGATATAAAGCTTATTCAAATCTGTGGAAGGACAAAGTGATCAAGTCCTCTGTGTGGTGAGAAAGGGCCAGTCACGAAAACCAGCAGCTAAGTCCCAGGTAGGACATAAGATAGCAAGAAGCAGCTAGAAAACATGGGAGGAAGCAAGATATGAGCATCTCCTGTTTGACTCAGTCTGTGGCTGCTGCTACTCTGTGTTGCCAGGGGCTGTTTCAGTTGCTTTCCACGGGTAGGAGCCCTTACTTGTATGCTGCTTTGCCATCCAGCTAACGGCTTCATGAAGCATGTAACAGTGTCATACCTTTGAGATCTTTATCTCTATGTTTAATTTGCTTGAGATAGCCCAAGGGGCCTGAAAGTTGTAATGGGAGGGTTGACAAATGTCAGAGACACAGACAGAGCCACTGCAAAAGACCTGTGACCTCAGGATAAAAATCATCTCCTGGTCTAGAGAATGGGGGAGACATCAGGCCAAATCCAGTTCCTAACATACGGCATTAGTGGAAAGCAGAACCCACTCTTCTTTGTTCACAAGACTTACCAGGTGTTATCAGCAATTCAACATGGGATACAAATCAGAAGATGGAAGGATTACATATTGGAGCTACCTTTCCTCCTTCTCCTTGGAAGCAGGTAAAAAGGAAAATGCTGTGAACTTGGCGCAGGGGAAGGATATGTCAGGAAGGCTGGCAGGGCACCAGGTTGTTGAAGCTGTCGAGGAGGAACATGGTGGCTTTTCTGATGTTGGGAAACCATGGGACAAAGGACCAAGTGCCATGTTTGGGGCAACTAATGTACAGATTACCCAATGTTCTTTTCTTCAGCAAACCTCTGTGCAATGGGCCACAAGAATATGTCTGGCATGCTGACCACAGGCCAGACGCATGCCTGTGAGCTGTGATAGTTTTGTCTCTTTGTGTGGCAAAGAGACTCTTCTGGGTGTCAGAGCCAGGGGAGGGGTTGCAACACCGGGCTGGCACTGTGTCAGACAGTGAGGCTGTCTGAGCAAGGGTCCCTGCTGGGTCCACGCTCGTTCCTGACTTGCACTGCATCATCACGGCCTGCCTCCTGACCCACAGCATCAAAGCTGCTGCCTCGGGTCGGGGGGGCCTTAGGAGCAGGAGAAAACGTGGCGGTACATTAAAACCACTTGAACCACAACACTCTGAGGGTAGGGGCCAAAGGCACTGAACCTCATGCTTAGTGCTTGAAACGTGATAGGTCTGCAAAGGAATCTGACCTGGATGAAAAAGGTCACTCAGAAAGGCTCAGATGTGATCTGAGGTCACTGCTCTGGTATCAGAAATTCCATGATAAGCATTTAAACTACAGATTTGTTATTAAAAATCACAGAATCATTTAGGTTGGAAGGGACCACTTGAGATCATCTAATTCAAGCAATATCAGCTAGAGTAGGTTGCCAGCCAGGTTTTGGGTATGTCCACAGATGGAGACTCTATAACCTCCCCGGGAAACTTCTTCCTGCATTTGAAATTATTTTGTCAAAAATGGTTCTGGTCAGCATAATTGTATTATTCCTGTGGAAAAACTTATTTTTCAGCTGCTCACCCTTGCAAACATAACCTGCTCTTGCAACTTCAGTGCAGCACCCATAATAAGGGTCTGTAGAGCTCACTGGGGTTGGAAGGAATTTAAAGGTCAGGGAACTTCTTGAAAGCAAGGCAAATGTGTCTTAGCTATAACCATTGAGCAGTACCTATGAAAAATACTAAAGGAAACAACAGTCCAGATGTTATTCTTTCCAGTAAAGTAAGCAGCTGGGAGACTGAGTGTAGGGCAAGTTTCGTGAGCAGGTTAAGTGTCGTCAGAACTGAGGTGTGCCGCCTGCCTTCTACACATGGCTCGTCGTTCCCTACCGCATCACTTACCTTTGAGGTCCACCGATGTCATGCATAAGCCAAATGTGTACTGCAGAGACTTTATCTGGATTTAGGTTAAAGATCTCAATGCTTCCAAAAATGCTGTTAGAATGGGATGTGAAAAAGCAAAACGTTCTTCATTATCTAAACAAGATGCAGAGTCTGTTCTCCAAATACTAGTGCTTATTAGTGCTGCTATTATTCTCAGTGAAGGAACATTATTTTGCCAACGGATTTTCACAGACTATTTAATTACCTTGTGGTAAAAGATTTTTCTCCCCATTCTTATTTCACTTTCATAAGAACTTTTGCCACTGTCTGCAGACTGAAAAAAGCTGACGTTTTTCCATCTTTAGTGCCTTTTCTCCTGTTTGGTTTATTGGCTACTGGTTTAGTTTGGTGCAAGGGAGACTGAACATGGCTGTTCTCCCAACCACCATATTCTTCATCTTTTGATATTATACAAGACTGCACTTCCAACCAGGTAACGCAAGGAAGCACTGTCTGGAGGGAGGAAAGTCCAGTCAGCTCCATGAACAATTAGAAATGTGTCTTTCATGTGTAGTGAATAAATAAACTGTAATAATGAAGTTACTTTGTGCAGTAGGAGCACATTGGATACCCCACCCACATACCCTCAGAAGGATTTCAGCTACAGTCACAGTACAGAAGGAGTTAAGTGAATAATCTTTGCAGTAGTCAATGCTTTGGACCGCTATATGAGTTTCCCAAAATCCATTCTGCAGTGGGACCCGCTGGCAAAGACATGTTCACCAGCATACAGGACCCACAGAAACATGGTAGGATGATGAGGAAATACCTGCTGCTTCTGAAAGCTCCAGCTTCTACTGATCCGTTGAGCATCACTTGAACCACACCACATGCTGCTTCTGCAAACTGAACGAAACAAATGGACATTATACTCTGACGCCACGTGCAGTGCCACGTCAGACTTGGGGCTAGTAGAAATCGCTGTAACTTCTTTGATATCATCAGAACTGACTTACACAAGTAAGGGATCTGGCCAATATTTTAACAGAACACGCCAGTGAAAAAAAATCCTCTAAAGGCTATGGCAAATCTATCATAAAGCTGCATTAGCCAGCTATAAATTGGCGGTGTGAGGTTGCATGGGATTGGTATCGCAACTTTCCTGTCACTGCTGTTTTCAGTTTTTACAGGGGATGCAACTTTCCAGAGCGCCAGCAGCTACAGCTCTCTGATGGGGCTGTTCCCCCCCTCAGTAACTTGGAATAACCCTCAGACTGCTTTAACTCAGGTGGTGAGGACGAGCCAGAACAGAAATGCCACAAGTTTAAGGACATGCAAACCATTGTGTATGCGTTACCTTGTGACTCACGCACTGTGTTCTTTTGTGGCTTGGGATTTTTCTCCCCAGTGGTTTTAGTAAGACTCATCACTGAGTGTTTTTTTAACTGATTTTTAAATTACTGGACCATGTGATCACTGTTCTTTTATTCTTTAAAACTCGTGTCCAAATATTTAAAGACTACTAAGGTTACAACATAAAGTACCCATTCTAGAGATATAATCCGTTGGCAAGACAAGGAAGTTTTAAAAAGCTTAACACTTTTACAGGTGGCTGTACTTATATCTTGCAAGTCCTCTTACATGTAAACAATGTGGCTCAAACTCAGGTCTCGAGAGCTGTGAAGTTACAGGAAAGTTTCCTGATGTGTAACTTTCTAATGTAATAATGAGTTTTAGTAGATCTTAAATTTATTTGGAGTAGAAAGCCTGCAGTCGAGCAAGCCTGTCTCTATGGCAGTTTATCCCTCCCAGGCTCTGGAACCAAGGGGATTAGTTACCCACAAAACATATTTTTTTTTACAGTGAGCAGACTTTTTCTTACGTACGTTAAGAGCTGAAGCATACAGGAATGCTTGTTTTCCACCTGGGACTAATAGTGGTATGAAGGGTGAAGTCTTGAGAGACATGTAAAATCAAACTGATAAAGGAAAACAGTTTTTTTTCTGGCAGTTTTTTTCTGTAAAGTGCTGATTCAACAAAGCCAGGCTAACTGCTCAATGCAGACTAGCAGGGTCTCATTCCTGTGATGGGACCTGGCACGTGTGTCTGGGTGGGTACATCGTAGGAACCGTGCCAGATAGATACCATTGCGGGAGGACGTGCTCTTCAGGTTTATGCTGGGAAGGTGCAAGGGGATTCTCAGCTCCTTGGAAAATTTCTGTGCCCAAATTGGGCACTGCTCTCAACATTGACATGCTAAAATGTATTTTATTTTATCAGTTTCAGTCCTGTGATTTAATTAAGGTGGTGATTATTATTACTATTGTAAACATCATTTGCAAAGCTCCAGCTGTCTGCCAGGTGTTGTTCTAGACGCTGGCACACAGTCTCTGCCCACAAATAAGAATGCCCAAACTACAGGGACATTAAATATTGTACTACTACAAATTTCCAAACCCATGATTTTTAGCCCCTATGGCTAAAGCTCGTGTGAACTTTTGTTAGTCTGTGTTTTAAGTCCAATCTGCAAACTCACATTTTTGGCAGTGTCAGGAACTTAGTGCCTTTCAACATTCTTGGATTCAGGGAGTTTTATTCTAGATCTTACCATCTTGGATGCCATCTTCCAGAATACAGAGCTAGGGTTGCTCTCACATTCACTTCGTTTTGGACAAGATTCATAGTTGATTCCTGAAAAGAAACATTTATGGAATAGCTAAGGTTAGAGTGAATATTGTCGCAATGTTAATATGGCTTTAAGAGCTGATTAATGATGGCAAAAAGATTTGCCCCTACCAAAGCAAGAGGGCTACATGAGGAAAGGGCTCTAAGAGGAAATCTGTGTGTGTTCGAAAGTCTTCCTGTTTGCTCACACATGCTCAGGGAGGCGGCTGCAGGCGCTGTATGCAAATAAATCTAAGAAAATTGAGAAGGGAAAACATGTAGTCCTCAATGTGAGAAACAGGTTGGTTCTTGACAATGCTGTCCAATTGCATTGCAAAATTAAACTTTGCCCAACATTTTCAGTAATTCCAGCCCATTTTAGAGGTTGCTAGCTTTAAGCATCAACCCAGGAGTCCTGTGGGCATCAATAACCCCAGGGTACCGACATAAAGCCCCCACCACTTTGACTGGCCTATGGCCAGGACCTTCTTGAATGGCATTCCTATTTTGCAGTTCGTCCCATAGAAGTCACAGGAAGGAACCAAGTAATCTTGATAAAGAAGGCGAGATATAACCATTAGTCCAAGAAGCAACATGGTGTTTTAATAGTAGCAAAAAAGTCGTGTTTTTTTTTTTTTAAATAACCTGAGAAACAAGTATTATTTTTATTCTTCCATAACATAGGACAGAAATACAAGTAAGGTTTTAAACTAAGTTAAAGAAAAGCATATGAGAAAATGAATGTGTTTAGGTCTAGATATACAAGAGAAAAGAATAAACTGGAATTCCAGTATTCTGATTTGCTTTGGAAAAAATAGGACTTATTACCTGGAGCAGAGGGGTCTCCACACCATGAAACTCTATCAGCCATATAACCCAACAAGGTGTCCTCCAAGGTAAGGAAATTTTGATTGGATTTTGTATAACGATGAGCGAGGTCATTTGTCTTGCTCCAAAACAGTGACTGTGAAATAAGGTAAAATACCTCATAAGTTATACTTATACTAGAGCTGGTCAGGAAATTTTCCTGGAGAAAAGCAAAAATTGTTCATGATAATGAGGGAGTTTTAATTTTTATTGAAATGCTCCAAGATGACATCAGTGGGCTGCAGTGGGTTCTCACATTTCCAGAATCTTTCTCGGTGGCTATTTTTTGTGGAAATGGACATGTTCAGCCTGTAAAGCATTTTGAAAGAAAGGTTTTGACGAGTTCTCATAGGATATATACCTAATTCGTTGTGTGCTTTTGAACTGCACATGGAAGAGCAGCTTTTTGGAAGCAGTGTCCCTCCTACAGCATGATAGCATGCTCCTTACAGAGCGCCGTATGCTCAGGGAACAGGGACATCTCCGGCACTTCACCAGGACCACCCCAGTACTGACACCTGAGACAAGCCTTACCCAGGGACAATTTTCCAGTGACAGAGAATGAGCGCGGTTACTGGGGTCCGAAGCTGATAACGCTACTTCAGGAAGCACAAGAGCAAAATGTTATCCTCGTTGACCTACAGACACTCACAGCCGTTATGGACAGGGTCCATCACTCAGAGCACTGCACAGACACGTCGTCCCACAACAACCCTCCTTGCGCAGCCCACCGTGCATTGTGCTGTTACCTTGTTACAGGGTATAGGATGACTCGCTAACTCCATTAGGGGCTGATAATCTTCTGATGTAATATTACAGGGATTCTTGTAAATGAATGCATGTTTTAACGATTCCCATATTTTTAGGCAATCCTTATCTCTGCCGAAAAATTAAAACACAGTTAATTAGTATTTATGAGTATTTATGACTGTGAAAGAATCTCCTTCTGTTATGGTCAAACACTATGGATCAGATTTTAAAAGAGTTCTGACTATGCTCAGGCACCAAAATACATTACTCATTAAAAAAGAAGAGTAACTTCAGCAAACTGAGTATGAACTGAGGAATGAGTAGCTCTAAAACATATCTCTCTCTCTCTCCTGCATTTTAAATTACTGATTATTGCAATATCTGAATGCCCCCTATGCTTTTGTCCCTTAGAAAAAGCAGTGCTGATATCACATAAGCAGAAGATCGAATTTCTTGATTATTCATACCAAATCATGAGAAGCAAATGTGGCAGAATATAGGTTGTACATTTTAAAAGTATGGCTGAAGGATTCTGCACCTCAGGTAGTGACCCAAAAATATGCTCGTGTGTTTCCCTGCAGAGCATTTGACCCTACAGAAAGAATATCTGTAATTTTATCTAAAACAAAATATTACTTTCATTTATGCACTGATTTGCAGCTATTGACTTTGCTGGAGCCACAGCTGATTTCTACATGTACAACTGAGATCCAAATCGTGTGCTTGGTCTCCAGTGGTTTCTTTTCAGTCTCCTGTTCCTGCAGGTTCTGGCCCTTTCGTTCTCACGGGTGTGAGTCAGAGGGACCCCACTAAACGTACACGGGGGGAGCCGGCACATGCCACGACACAACCCGATCACCTCAGCCTACACTTGTTTCTCAAGGTGCTGCTTTGTCAGCCTGGGAAATAAAGCCCACCTCTGCTGGCGGCCGCAGGGCTCCTTTCGTACTACCGAGAGGCAACCCGCTGCACGGCGCTGGCAAGCAACGGTATCTCTATACCGAAGTGGTACCACGCTCCTGTCCTGAAGCTGCAGCATACAACGAGGTTTGGGACGGCTCAGGACATTTGCTTTCTTGTACTTGCAGTAATGGATGAAAACTTTGCGTTAAGAGAATTCATAATTATTGCCTGTCTAGCGTGTGTTTTCAAGGCTGTCCCCCATGGGTGCACTTCCCTTCCTCTCCGCGCTCCCGTAGTTTCAGGCCCACGTGGAAAGCCTGCCCCTCTCATTACAGCAGTGACAGTAATGCAGTAATTTTCCATCCTTCTCTTCCCTATTTTTATGTAAATTTAAAAGGCTGACTGCATTATCCCGCTGTCTGCATGTCTGAATGGAGCTACTCTGTCTTTGACTCATCCACTCTTTCTTCGCTCTTTGCAATCATCTCCCAGTGTGTTCCCACTAAAAGCTGTTTGAAGGATGGACTTTGTTTTGTGTGAAGAAACGAATGCCTTCAGAGCACTACAAAAATAACACTGATCGATCAGTACATGACAGACACACAGCTGCAGGCTGTGCCCAGTTGGTCCTCAGCTAACGTGTAGGACGTGGAATTTGGTTAGTCTTAAAAATAGTCCTGAAGGGATTAAGAAAAATGAAGATTGAAGATTTCCAAACAAAAAAAAAAAAAAGGAAGATTCAAAAAATTAAGATTTCCAAACATTTTCAAGTTAATCTTCCCTACAGTTGTGTGATCTCATTCCTACTACTGAACTTGACCAAGATTTCTACTGAGTGCTCGTTTGAGCGTCAGAGGGGCGAACTGGAACACAGAGAAGTTGATCTGTTTGTGTTACATGGGCCACATCTAAACTCCGGGACCCAGGACCGCTTGTCAGCTCCTGGCCATTTCCTCTCTGTCTGGATATGAACTGTCTTCTTTCCCTTCCCAAGCCTTAGGGAAAATAAACATCACACAAAGAGGAGGCCAGACTCATGTCTATCTATGTCCAAAAGAAAGCGAGAGCACCTGGCAGCACTACGCACCAGAGGGAATGTCTCCGTCAGACACACTACAGAGGCTTGGGCCAGTATCGTACCCAGAAGGACCAGGCAATCCACAGCAGGATGTCCTTGGCCTTCTTTCTTGTCTGCCTTTATTTATATAGTAAAAAATCTAACTTAGCATTATATATGGTATCGGTTATTGGGAGGTCATACCACCAAGGTGGTTGCTAGAGCAGGTTTTCATGCCCCAGCTTCTTCCAGTCCTCCTCTGTGCAGGGGCTGTGGTGGATATGTCCTCATCTCTCATTCTGCATTACACCGCAGAGCTCTATCTGGATGCAGATGTCCCATAGCCTGACCGTGTCGATTTAAAACTGGCTTGGGTACCGCCACCGTGCAGTGCTGTCTGAAATGCAGGCAGAGCCTGGGGGCCGGGACAAGGCAGGTCAGCCTGAAGGGTCTCCCGCTGTATGGCCAACCGGGGCGGTTCTGGCCACATGCCGAATTTCATTTCTTACCGTGCCGATCTGTTACAGGGGCAGCCGCAGCTGCGTTAGGGAGAACACCTCTTGTTTGTATGAACCAAATTTACCTCCAGGTAAGTAAAGGCTAAGAACGTTGATAGTTTTTTACTGGGCTATTGTCTTTTATCCAGGAGTCTAAATGGGCTTTCAGTTACAGTCACTGTAGAAATAAGAAGCCAAACTGCAGATGCTCTAGGGAGCACAGTCATTGCTTTGCTTTTACTGGCATCTCAGGGGGTATTCTACTTAGCAGAATTTAACTTGGGTGTATTAAATTTTCTCCCGGAGGAGCTTGTCTCTGGCTGCAAACTGTGTAAGTAATCCACACAGACCACCCTCCCAGCCTCGGTACTTCATTTAGGGAATGGGAAGTTGTAAATGCCTCTCCCTGGTACATAGGATTACATCATGACCGCATTGATTCAGCCAAAAGAGAGGGCACCTGCTGATTAAGGGGTGACATTACAGAATAGACAGCTGTCCCCTTTGCTTTGCACAGTCAATGGTATCATAAAGAGAATTTGTAGGGCTTGTCTGCAAGCACCGGTACATCTCAAAGACATTTATATGGCTCATAGTTTCTAATCTGTCAAATGATTTGCCCTCTTGGCAGGACTCTTTTTTTTTTCTTCTTTTTTTTTTTTTTTTAAGCAGCTCCTGAAATCTGTTATGTATAACAGTGTTGACAGCCCCAGGTGTTGGTTGTTACCTGGTCATTTATCCTTTCATATTGCAAAGTTTTTAAGTTTGGCCTCAGAAGACAAAATATTTGTCAAGGAATCATAAGAAAACCTGGGGTTTTTTTATTCCCAAAGCAAAGACATAAGTCATAGACACAGTTCAAAGCATTTCTGCTGCTGAACTCAACTCACGGCCATGAGAAGCATGAAGCAACAACCATCCAGGTGATTCACAATCCTGCTGAGACAGCTTGCTGAGTCATGAGTTCAAAGCATCAGTTTTCTAGCATTTCAAGAGACCAAGCTCAGCCCTTGCTGATGTGCATGGATGTCACCTCTAACAGAGAGAACAGTCCTGGCAGTGCTAAGCAAAACTATGTTTAATGTCACAGAAGTGGCAGGGCTTAGCCTTCAAATGGGGGAAGGTCTTCTACAGCTGGTAATCAGTGTGGTACTTCCAGTTGTACCTCACAGAAGGATGATGAGGCATGATGATGGGCTGCTATAGAAAACAGGCAATTTCAGCATTGTTTTAGAAATCAAAATACAGATCTTCAATGTAAAAAAAGACATACAAAAGAGAAACAATATTTCATTTTCACTATCCTCACCTATCAACATATACATTTTTACAACTGAATAAGAATAATCTATTGATTTGCCATTAGAAAGCTATTTCTCTGATATGAAGTACAGGTTTTGCCTCACATCTCAAAGAGATTACCAGTCACACAGAGTAGTGATTTTGGTGGATATATGAAAAAATAAGCAATGAGAAAGCTTTAGAACTTGATAATCCCAGCTCCAGGAAGATCACAGAATCATTAAGGTTGGAAAAGACCTTTAAGATCATCCAGTCCAACCATCAACCCAACACCGCCATGCCCACTAAACCATGTCCTGAAATGCCACATGTTTTTAGAACGCTTCCAGTGATGGTGACTCCACCACCTCTCTGGGCAGCCTGTTCCAACGCTTGACCACTCTTTCAACAAAGAAATTTTTCCTAATACCCAGTTGAAACCTCCCCTGGTGCAACTTGAGGCCATTTCCTCTCGTCCTATCGCAGTTACTTGGGAGAAGAGACCAACACCCACCTCACCACAGCCCCCTTTCAGGTAGTTGTAAGGTCTCCCCTCAGCCTCCTCTTCTCCAGAAAATAAAGTTTCAAAAGTCCTTCTATCCACCACAGCAAGAAAATATTTGTCTCTCTTGCACCATTTAACTCACACTGAGCAGAGGCAAGGGCAGAGACCCGTTATAGCTCTGGGCCTCCTGAAGGCAGAATGAGAAGTTTGCTGGCACTTGGTATGCTAAAAATTACAGCAAGAACACTTTCAAGTTGAAACAAGCACATCTGCCTTGCCAAAAAGCACCTGGGAAAAAAATGTCCTTTTAAGGCTGCTCCCAGCTTCTTATTGGGAAGTTCTCAGTCACAGAATGGGCTCATTTTGTTTTCTTTGTTGGTTTATAGAAGAAAGGTGCGAAAGAGATCACCAGTCTACCAGTTAACTGAATTTATCTAATTCAGATACAGGAGTCCACAGTAAATACACTTATGTACCACATTGCTGTGGTGTACTCTCCTTCTCTGGTTTTTGTTTGTATGTTTTGGGTTGCATATTAATTCTGCATCATATCTGCAAATATCACATCTTTATGCGTAATGGATTTCTTCCTTTGAGGCTAACTTTGTTTATGCAGAAATCTCTAAGGCCTTTTATTCTACTACAGAATCTGAAATATTTAACCCAAATTCAGGGACATGTAAAACAAATACACTCTAATTTTATGTTTAATTTTTTCAAACTTTTAAATTATGATTAGAGTTTGGGAAATGCTGGTAAATGTGAAATAATAACTAACAGGCTGAGAAGGAATATTGTGAAACCTGCTGTAAACTCAAGAACTGAACCTGCAACCTTTTCTCTGGAAAGCAAGGATTGCAGCACTTGCCTTATGACCTTTTGGAGA